TTTTTAGTTGTCCAATTAATTTCTTTCTAATTTTAGTAGAGACGGGGTCTTGCTCTTGCTCAGGCTGGTTTCAAACTCCTGAGCTCAAACAATCCAGCCGCCTCGGCCTCCCAGAGAGCTAGGATTACAGATGTGAGCCACCGTGCCTGGCCAAGACATAGCTACATTTGAAAATAAAATACAGCTTTTGTTTTCTCCTTGATAAGACTTAAAGATAAGTCTTTAGGAAGCTTATCAATATTGAAACATATTTTATATTACAAAGAGTGATTTCTAAGCCTTTGGGTTTAGAAATGCTGTGTGTGCTAAAAATAATGAAATTTTACTAATTTTCTGTAATGTGAGAAAAATCAGTATGGATAGTTAATAACTTCACATTAGTTTCTAAAACAAGTCATACTTTAACTTACTGATTATCTAAATTCTTCTCTTATTAATAACTAGAGTGTGCCAGTGGAGCCAGACATTCTGAAGGAAAATATTTTTTTCACCTCCTTTTGTTCTAGAAAGTGATTTTTCTATATTCATCTGAATTTGCCTCCTGTTACATATTCTAAAAATAATGTGCTTAAATATCAAACTTCCTTTTTCACTTAAATCTTGTGACAAATCTTGTTTCACTCCCACTCTTCTCTGTTTTCAAGTATACAGAGAGGTCTGATGTCATAGCGCAGCTGTCCCTTTGCTTACTGGGAAGAACAATAATGTCTCTTTCTTGGTCTTTTCCTGATTAGCCTCTGACAGTGACGGCACCATCCCTGACCATTGCGGAGAATATGGCTGACCTGATAGATGGGTACTGCCGCCTGGTGAACGGAGCCTCACAGTCTTTTATCATCAGACCCCAGAAAGGTGAGGTTCTATTTCTGTGTGGACATTCCCAATTGCATTCCTACTGAATTGTTAGACGAGCTCACCCCTAACAGCCTGTTATCCCTTTTTTAGGTAGTTCCGTAAATGTGAAGACCAAATGAATAATTCAGCCTAGTGTAATCTGAGTTCTTGTTTTTCTAAGGTTAGCAATCCAGTTCACACTTTGCACAGACCAAGAGCTGTGTTTGAATAGAGCCTAAATAAAACTTATGTATTTATAATACTGTGGTTTTACCTTCCAACTATATTATCATTAGTATTTTAAAGTAAACTTTAGAGATTATAGTCAGGGTTTAAAAAAAAAAAAGAGTCCCTTGTAACTCACATTAAATGAAGTATCCTTTCTATTTTTTGTTATATATCTCAAAAGCTTAGAGCATTCAAAGAACAAAATAAATTCTAAATCATGATGTAAAAGTCAAAGATTAGAAAAAATGTGTAAGCAATAAAGCTCAAAGTAAAAATAAAAGATTAGCATGAATAAATATCCTAGAAGCATAGCTGTATCACTTCAAAAATGATGTGGAGTTTTTGCAAGCGTATATGAAGGGATGTTTTTGAATACTCGGATTTCTGGAATAATTAAATGAAAATATTCCTAGCAGTATAATAGCATACAGTGAAGGAGGAAGAGACTGGGCTTTGGAATTGCATCATTTCATAAATTCAGATCACAAGTCCTCTGTGCTACCCATCTGTGAATTACTTTTCTGTGCTCGGTTCTATCATCTATAAAACACAAAGAGAAGTACCTGTGTTCTATGGTATTGGGAGGATAAAACTATACCTGGCACATTTGATGTTCGAAGATTTTAGTTACATTATTGTCGTTCCTCTTGCTGCTACTATTGTAGTCTAATCTTGACACATTGTATTAACCTCGACTCTGAGATTCCTCATCTGTAAAAGAATGATACCTACTCTGTGGGGTTGTTAGGTGGGTCCCAAACAGTAACCATAAAGCAGCTAGCACTATAGCAAATGGGGTCTCTAAACCTGGGTTTTGTCATTGCCCACGCCTTCCAGCACTCACCTCAGTGACTAGGATGATGATAGAGGAAAGAATCCTGAAGCGCTGTGTGGTGTGTGTCCAAGTAAGCAGAATTAAACAGAGAAGAGGGTAAAGAAAAGCCCAAGGAAAACAAATGGTGACATGCCAGACTCCGGGTATGGAAACCAGAGGGCCCAGCCTGCCCAGCAGCGAAGTGCTCTGTTTACAGAGCAGTTTAAGGGAGGGGTGCTGTGTGTTGGGGGGAAAGTGTTTTAAACAGAGGAGTCGTTGGACCCTTTGTTTAAACGGTGGTGATGATGGATGTGCTTTGAAAACAATAGCCAAAGCTGTCCACAAGTAAACGTAAATCTGTATGATTCCAGGATGTGGCTCATCAAGCAGAAGTGTTTTTTCCACGGTGATCACATCAATAAAGCCTATTCATAAGTTTTTTTCTAAAATAGTGAACTTTTTCAAAAGTAATGAAGTTACTTTCAGAAATGTCTGAAGTTATTCTTAAAGTGTTAACAGCTATAAGCTCTTGACTTTATGCTTTAAACGGGAGTATATATCTCACAAATATTAAACGTTTTGGGAAAATTTCTTCACATAAATATAGTATTTTGGGAAAAATGTTAAATGTAACAGATTGTCCATCTCCTTTTTAATAAATAATATTCTAAATTACATCCTAATTTACCAAAATGTCCTCTATTGATATGTTAATACACATTAAAAGTAACACTCAGACATTAAGCATTACATAAGCCATTCCGTGTTTAAAGTTTGCATCTTCCTGTGTTAATTTCACTGTTAATTAGCTTTTTTTACTCCTCTAGGGAGAAAAATTTTGATATCAAAACATGAAATGAGATGCTTTTTAACCTTTTTGCTCACAGGAAAAGAGCATGAAGGAAAATGCTTGTCATGAGAAGCTAGGTAGGGTGTTGGTTGTTACCAATTTTATATTTATAAAATGAATTATTAAAGTTGATAATTATCTTATTCTGAATCATAGCATGTTTATGTATTACATTACTACTTAATCATAGATCCCTAAGGTGAAGATATTGCCTAGTTGAAATATTATTAAATAGAAATATGAAATAATATTAAAGTCAAACTTTTTTAATGGGTTGTAGTTAGAAATATATATGGACAAGGCAAATCTACATTTTTTGATTTTTTTTAAATTTTCAAATAAATATTAAATAGGTTTCTACAACTCTAATGTACTATTTTCTTGGAAACACGTTTTAAATAATAATTATATAAGTGCCCATCTGTCTTCTCTAGATTATAAACTGCTTAGTGGTGGGAAATGTATACATGTGTGAATGCATAACAGAGCATGACAGTAATAAGTGATCAATAAGTTCTACATGTGAGCTCTGTGTGCTCCCAGATGCACTTTATTAGTTCTTTGATCTACCATAATTGCTTTAGATTTATAAGGTGCTTTAAAGGTGATGTTTATTAGGGGGAAAACATAATAAGAGCCACAAGCCAAATGTCCTGGACTGAGTTTCACCAGAGTCGGTGCATGACCTTGGTCCTTATTGCAGCGTTTTATCTAACCTATTCCTTATCTGCAAGTAAGTTCAGAATCAATTTTTGCAATTTTAGTAATATTCTGTAGTAAAATTCTTCTCAGAGGAAAGAATTACTCAATTTAATATAGAGTCAAAATTTCATTGTTCTTAAATAGGTTTTGTATATATAGAATGATAGTAAATACTGTCTATTGTGTGGGAGGAGGTGAATGCTTCAAAGCATGACATAAAACCTGGAAGATGTAAGAACAAAACTGATAGATTTCATTACATAATTAAAATATGTCTCTTAGGAAAAGGTAAATATTTTAAAAGCTATGACACTAAGGGGAAAATATTTATAATACATACAATAAATAATTAAAATCTCCTATTTTTCAAATGTTCCAGCTCATTGAGTAAAAGACAACCAATGTAAAAATGTGTACCTCATAGAAGAATGGACATACAAATGTCCAATAAACATATAATAGGAAACACTGATATATATCATTTTATATTGATTAGATTGATTTAAAAAAAACTGATAACCACTTTTGGCAAGGCTATTGGAAAACGTACTGTCACACTCAGTATAAGTTGATACATTTTCAGGAGTCAGTTTAGGAGTACTCTGCCCACTAGTCTACCTCCTAGAAATTAGTTCTGCAAAACCACTGACAGGAGGATGTTCACTATTGCATTATTTATAATAGCAAAATATTACAAACAATGGAAATTAATGAATGAGGAAGCATGCATACATGATATAATACTATGCAGCTGTTAAAAAAAACAATGAGATATGCTGGCCACAATGGCTCACACCTTTAGTCGCAGCTATTCGGAAGACTGAGGTGGGAGGATCATTTGAGGCCAGGAGTTCAAGACCAGCCTGGGCAATATAGTGAGACCCTGTCTCTAACAAAATAATAATAATAATAATACAAAGAGAAATTTTTTAAAATAGTGAGATTGCTCTATTTTTGTGTTAAAAACCAAAATGTAAATGTGTGTATGTTATATCCGAATTTGTATGTATTTATAAGCATAAAAATATGGAAAATTAAGTGCCCAACTTAAGACAATGAATACTTCTAAGGAGAATGGAAATGTATTTGAAGCAGAGGAGGAAGCCTTCACTTCTTTTTTCACATTATATACTTCTGTGATTTAGATTTGTAACAATGAGTATATATTAATTATATAACAATGAGTATATATTATTAGTAGAAATAAATAATTAATAGAAATAATAGAAAAGGCTTTTATTCAAAAATTAAATGGAAGAACACATTGGAATTTGAAAAAAAATGTTTTTAAAAAGTCTTAATTCAGGCTGGGCACGGTGGCTCACTCCTGTAATCCTAGCACTCTGGGAGGCCAAGGTGGGCGGATCGCTCAAGGTCAGGAGTTCGAGACCAGCCTGAGCAAGAGCAAGACCCCGTCTCTACTAAAAATAGAAAGAAATGATCTGGACAACTAAAACTATAT